TCATTTTGCATCTGTCACGAACGCTTTTTAGTTTTTTGGATATAAAAAACGGAAAAGCGTTTTTTAAAAGGTTTATTGGTCTCAATAAACCCTTTTTGATAGTTTATTAATCTACGACTATTTTTTAGAGTGTAGTTGTCAAAACATGACATTTATTTTGGTTGACTTAATACCTGATATTTGCAATCAAAATAATATATACACTATAGCTCTTGGATAGCAGAGGGAAAAGGAGAATTTCATTGTGATAAATGGTTTAAATACTACCGCTTGAGTTAGACAAGAAGGCGTATTTTATTGCGCAAAATGAATTACCGACCGGACATAAACTAAACCAAAAACTGATTATTATTTCTCATTTCATGACAAAATCTCATATCTATTTGATGGTTTAACGTATGCTAAGTTGTTAACTATTATTGTGATGATAACACTAAAGCCGTTAACACTATGGTAACGGATGACAATCTCATCTATGCATGAGACTATGATGATATACATTCACAGATATGAGAATCCAGATGTTAGACTATTAGACCTGTAAGCCGATAAACTGCATTGATGGAAAATCTTCAAAAAGTTTTTATTGCGTCTTTTTACCAGAAAAAATCCTGCATAACTAAGTGAAATATACATGAAGTAAAACAATTTTACTTCATGTGCTCTTCTCTAACTCATCATTAGTAGAAATACGAAGAAAAACTTGCAAAAAAAATTCAGTAGTCGATAATAAAGAAAAAAATCTAGCCAGCTGTCATTGATCAGTCGATCAGCTTACAGCTCCAGTGTCGATGACATTCATCATCGTTATGCAACGAAGATGAATACAAGAATAATATTAATTAGTGACTATGATTAAAAAAAAAAAAGATACCAGACTGCTTCAAATTTAACTTGCCAGATCAAGTTCAAAGTTCGTATCAATATTAAAAACAGAATATCGCATCATTATCATTCTAATTATTACGATATATAAGAAGATTGACGTTGTTTTCGTTTCTGATAACATATGGTTATCATTTTCACATTTTTTTTCCTCTTTTTCTCTTTTTTGTGGAATTGATAGTCCTTTTTTGAGAATAAAGATGTTTATTAGAAAACAAAATCGGTCCAGTTATACATATGAATATAAGAGAAGATCACATATATGTCAACAAAGGTTTTTGTGCAGACAGTCGAACAAATTAGTGCTATAAAGGGATATTACATATATTTTGTCTGATAATACCATTAGATTAGCTCGTGCAGATATAATTAAGTGCTACGTTTCTAATACATACTCGAGAATTGGTACCTAATGATAATAAATAATGATAAATATATAGATCGAAAAAAAAATAAGTTTTTAAGGTCAAATGAATAAAATAATATTTATTTTATGGTCACTATTACTTGATCATATTACATATTTTAAAGGAGATATCGTATAACAGTATCCTGTAGTGTATCCTATAGTGTTGAATAGATTCAACAAATTATATGTAATTCAAACTAGAATAACAATTAGTCTTCGATTAATGATCATCAGACACGATAAAAATATTATATATAAATCATATTCAAGATTTGTTTATCCTTGTCTCCCTCCCTAACTATGTACTAAACTATTAGACATGTAATATAAACATCAGATTTTTTCTTCTCTCGAAGTCTAAATAATAGATATAAAAGAAACCTACGAACCTCCTCTCCTCAGGTGACAAAAATTTTATTCGTTTAACTGGTACACTTTGATAGAAAATTACACATCTCAAGACATGGGAATCATAGAAACAACTTTAGGGCAGAAATACAGTAGCTAATACATTGTCAAGAAGTTTGGGACCTCATCGTCACTCTCTTTCAAGACATTTTCGATAAAACTGTTATAATTCTGCGCGAGAACGATGGCTATACTTGAAACGTTGCAAAAATATAAATACAAAAAATGGCAAAAAAGAATCTCAACTTTGAAAAGTAACTGTCAGTCATAGAATAACTGTATTTCAGTGACTATTAAGAGGCAACTTTTAAAATTCATATTGTAGATAAAGAACAAAGATTTTGATGCTAACTGGAAGCATTCATCTCTTTTCATTCAAGATGTATTAACATTTTGTGAAATAAAAATGAAAGGTTCATGCCTCATGAATAGTCCTGTGCGCAGGTTGAAAAATCGGCGGCGGCGCGAAGCAAAAGTTTTTCGATCGGTGGCGGCGGCGTATCTCTTCCCAAAAGATTTTCCGCCTTCGGCGGCCGCGTCTAAAAGAATTTGTTCGATCGGCAGTGACGGGGCCAATTATAATATAACTTCCTGTTTTTCTAATTTCTCATGATTTTTTCATTCCAAAACTTTTTCTATCGGCGGAGGATAAAACCAGTTTGTATTTTTAGCATCGGTGGCGGCGGTGGTGGAGAGCTCCCAAAAGTTTCGATGCCTTTGGCGGCGGCAGCGGCGCTATAAATCCTAATTATCCATCCGCGGCGGCGGTGACAGCAGCGTGGAGTACAGGTCTAATCATGAACCATGCAGTAGAAAAGGGCAATATTTATGGAACGATCAATGTATGAGCAGCCTACATAATTTAAAATGGTTACTACCATGGTTCCTGAGGTCAAGAGGCGGACTTTAGTTTAAGCCAGAACTGTAACAAAATGTAGAATATAAGTACTATAATATATCAGATGTTAATTGTTTGAGCTCAAAGTGCTCACTCTCGTTTTTCTTTGGATTTCAAATGTCTTTTTATTTACTGGCGAGTTTTTCTAGTTTATTAGAAGTTGAGCAGTCTCTGAATCACTCAGTCAGTCATACGTAGCATGCTTACAATGGTGAATTCTTGTTCTGTATTATTGAACAATTTTGAAATTCATGTTGAAACAATTGTTTATATTTGTCTGACATTGGACTTATTTGTTGGCACGTTCCATTTTGATGTAATCGTAGTAAACAATTATCGGTCAACATAATTTTTTTACATATTATTTGTTGTGTATCATTTTTTGCCACTCTCACTTGTGAAAATGGACAAAATAGTTCAAAGTCGCCAATAGGACACGTCTTCTTGGTTAATTGTTCATCTATTTCTAACCAAAATTCATACATTAATAAACATTGACGAAACGTTAATTCACGACGATAGTGTTTACAATGTTTAATAAGTACTTGACGTTGTTTTTGCCATTTTTTGAATGTTTGTTTTTTCCAATCGAGTGTCGATATGTCGTACGACGAATAAGGATGCTTAAGGCCATTTTGTAGTAATTTGAAGAATGATGCTTTATTAAGTAACGGAAAAGAATCATTATTAGTACTATGAGAACGAACATTTTTATATAACGATATTAAATAGAATATGAACGATATCCACAATATTTGATTAGTTTTAATCCAAATCTTACACATAGAATAATTTGGTATTAACTAAAAATAAATGATGTACATTTAGAAAAGAGACAGCTAAAGATACTACATCGTTTTCCGCTTGTTCCTTAAAAATAAAATTTATTAATTCAATAAAGTTTACAGGAGGTCAAATAATCTGAAACTATAGGGTTACGGAAGAAAATATACCTTTAAACAAAGGTCAAAGCTGATCATAAGTAACAAACAAAAGATTATGTTTTTCTAGATTCCAATTCCTCAGTATTTCCAAAATGAAGAAAAAAAATAGGTACATAATACGCTGTTCTTTTTTTGTTTTGGTGTCAGCTGGTTTCGATTCTGCACAAGTGCTATCTGATTGTTGAAATTCAGTCTATGCATTTTTATTTTCTTGTGAAAATCTATTAGTATTTGTCCTCTTGTTTCTTTACAAGAAAAAAACGCAGCAATTGATCCTATACAACTAGCGAATACCATCGACGCTACCGCATATCTCTCAAAATGCAATAACCTTTCCTCAACTCGGTCTAATCTTACTTCGATCATGTTGTTTACAAAATTTTTCATATCATTTTTAGTGGTCATTTCAACAAATATCATATCATTTTTTCCCAAAAGTTTTCGTCTGATGCCAAAGTCCTTGACAAAAGCTCACATATAGAAAGATAGAGACTTTTATGGGCTTCAAAATGCTATAGACTTATCAAAATAGATAAGTCCAAAAATATGCCCACACGGGTCAGTAGTCGAAATACTTGGCCGATATAATGATTTACACCTACCTTAGTGCTTTAAAGGAATATTAATATCGATTTTCGCTCATAGTGATATATAAAAATAACCACAATTTCTTTCACAAATAGAAATTAGGAATAGTTTGTATTTGGAAAAATGCAAAATTGAAAGGACTACAAAATAAGCTATAGGAATTATTTCAAACCTTAAGTTTAATAGACTTATTGGCAAAATGCCAAACGGATACAGTAGGTTTAACCTATGACAGGACAGTAAATGAAGTACAGTGTTGTAAATATGGGTAGAGGAATGGCTTTCATAGAAGAAAATGCAGGAAATAACAAGCTTCAAACTGAAATACATTATATTCTTCTAAACGTATGCCTTCATACATTTCTACACCAAATACTATACAACAATGATGGTTGTTAATTAATAGAGCATCGATAGAGAAGTAGCAGTGTTATACTCAATAATTTCTAGATTTATTTCTACTGCTCCACCTTCAAATTATTGATGCTGGTTTTTTCTTGCTTAACCCTTTCAGGACCGGGTTAATTTTTATATAAAAAGTGCTGTTCAAAAGTTGAAGACCTTTTTTATTTTGCAATATCTCGGCTTCCCTGACAGATAGAGACTTCATC